TTGGACTAACCTACTGTCTAAAGTTCTAAGCACACACATATCCTAAAGTTACATCCTTGGAAGTGAGTAGGACAACCAGCATGGCCTGGGAATCCAGTCTTGTGACTGGTTAGTCATGCTCTGGAGTTTCCTCCAGCTCAGGAGGAGCTGATTTTTATTTGTGATTAAAAAGAAACCACACGAACTAGCAATCAGCAGAAGGTGCAGCCACACCCTTCTGTCTGCCCAGGAAAGCCTACCTTCACTGTTGTTCATTACAGGATTGAAGTTAACTGGAAACCTTGATGTCCACCAGTGTAGAATTTATTTAGAAAAAATTGTGAAGAGAATGTTGAAAACTCAAAGTCAATATCTTGACCATAAAGTCTGTAGCTCATACCACAAAAGACAAGAGAGAAGAAATCAAATACATTTATTGTTTAAATCATCTATCTATCTAACTATCTATCTGTCTATCTATCCATCTACCTACCTATCTATCCATCCATCCTTGAGCTAAACACTGTACCATACGTGCATGATCCCATCACCAGGGAGGTGGAGGTAGGATTAGTATTCTAAATTTTATTTTTATTAAGGTAATATAAAACAAGAAGAAATAAAAATGAGATCAAGATGGAGGGGTGATAGCAGGAAGAGGGTAAATGGGGATTGAGGGAAGAGCATGACCAGAAAGCATTATATGTGTATATGACATTGACAAAGGACAAATTCATTAAAATTAATCTGGTAAAGAAAAATCTTTAAGGGGGCTGGAGAGCAGGCTCAGGAGTTAAGAGCACTTCCTGTTCTTCCAGAGGACCAGGGCTTCATTTCTGGTATATGATTTCCCCTTTGATCCCACTTAGGATGGCTCACACCAACCTATAATTCAAGCTCCAGAGGGCTCAGATGCCCTCTTTAGGCCTCTGCTGGCACCTGTGCATATGTACACACACACACACACACACACACACACACACACACAGAAAGAGAGAGAGAGAGAGAGAGCTTTTAAAATAATGAAATAGAAAAGGAAGAAAATGGTGTTAAAGAAGCCACAGATCTTCCCTTAAGTCCTGAACTCAACACCATGGTAAATTCATGTTTTTGGGTTGCTCTTTCATTTTTCTAAATGGTTTCTTAGCCTAGTAATTATTATTCAGCCATCTTACACAATACTCACTAACTTTATGTGACCATAATTGAGGATGCAGTTAGCTTTCTTGCACATACACATTCCCAGTCTCCCTCTCCACACCTCCCATGTACAGTGTTATTGCAGTTTGCTTATTTCCCTTGTGAATTTTATCATACCAATTATATTCATGCCAGAATAAAGCAGCATTCTATCATGTATTCCCTTTCCTATACAACATTTTGTTTTTCCTGGAGTTTGTTAAGTGCTTTTAATGTTATGTAGTACTTTGTACACACACTAAATTACTCAAAATTACCTTCAAATGTTTCTTTTAAATTGTGACAGTCAGAGCAGTCTAATTGCTGTAACAACCTCAAAATCTTACTCTCATTTTACACTTTTACTTCCTGCTCATGTCATAGTTCGGTAGTAACAGCTGGGATTTCTTTGGCTAAAACCTTTCTGGGTCATAACTTTCTTCCTTCAGTAGCTTGATTGTTGTCAGGTGGTAGTGGTGCATGACTTTAATCACAGCACTTGGGAGGCAGAGGCAGGCAGATCTCTGAGTTCAAGACCAGTCTGATCTACACAGTGAGTTCTAGAACAGCCAGGGTAACACAGAGAAACCCTGTCAAGGTGTAGGAGGCAAGGGGTTGTGGCTTAGCGGTGATGTCTGTCATTTCTGCCACATACCCTTGGCTAACACTCAATTGAATGCTCCCCAACATGCAGGGAGATCAGCGAGAAATCCAGAGGGATGCTCTGGAGAATGGAAGGGATCTGGTGAGCACAGTGGATAATTTCCTGGTGTGCAGGCACCAATGCTAACATCTTCTTTATTGTCATTGGAGATAGACCTACTTCAGCCTTCCTCCTGCTTGCCCCTGACCTGCTTCATGAGAACTCTTCCAAGGAACTCTTATTTCTCTCTCATATTGGACTTCAGTTTTCTGAGTTTTGCTCTTCCTGTTCTTGGTTTATCAGCTTGTTTCAGGGAAGCTGTTTTTCAAATAGTGCATGGAAGAATGAAACTTGAAAATGCCATCATTCACATGGCTAACATTTAATTTGGACGTGCAATTCTAGATTCAAAATAAACTTATTTTTTAATATATGAGGCATTCAAAGAAACATCTACATTTGTTACCATTCTTGGGAAATTCAGCACAGTTTTTTTTCTATGTAAATGATTTGCCTATGGCTCCAAAGCACATTTTAAATGTTTGTGGGTTACTATTATTTCAGAATGATGTGTATACAATTAATGAGTAAATATAAAGAGAACCTTCAATCTCACATGTCCATAGTCTTTATTTGTGGAATTCTTAAAGCATTATTTCCTTCCATTCACTTCTCCATCCCTTTCTGCACAAGAAGAACTCATCTTCTAGAACTTTCTAGGATTGTTTTGGGTCACATTTTCTTCTTCAACATTTTATGTAGCTTTTGTTCTCCTTCACTGAGAATTAATTTCTTTGCTGTTAACTCTTGCTAGAAGCAGAGTCAAAGGGCCTGCGTTCAGCTTCTGGTAAGCCTCCCATGACCTTACTTTCATTCTATGGAAGACTGGAGGCTGGAAGAAGCAGATGAAGGAACTTGGTTGCATATATAGCAGTGGGGAGGAACTTCAGGTCCAACCATTCTGTGTATGTGTCCCTAACCGAGCCCAATACTCCACCACTTGTCACCAGTCTGTACCAGTATTTCTGCCTTTAAAATCTCAGTCTGCTGGGCTTTGGGGGGGGGCAGAATACCTGATAAACCCATGTCCTTAACTCTGCAACACAGGCACTGTATAAACTGTTTCTCTAAGTCGATACCTGCCTACAACTGGTTGAACATCTTTAAAAGAATCCATCACAATTTATTTTATCTGGTGATGTCTCTTGTCTATTTTATTTCCTTTTGTGATTTAAAAGTATTTTTAAAAGTTAAGAATTGATTTACTTTTTTGGTTTTCAAGGAGTTTGAGGAAGAAGAAATACAGGTGATGAACTTGCCATTTTACCTAGAAGTTTCTCAATTACAATGATATCTCTATATACATCAGAGCTACTTTGCAGAATGAGACAGAAATTTTATCTGTTTAATTTGTGCCACATATACCTCCGGCCTTTAAAATCATCACCTTCACACATTTTTTTTTCTGTTAGAAGAGCCAAAACAGTGAGTCAAGTGATATTGGAGCTGGAGAAAATTGCTCAGTTTTTAAGAGCACTTGTCACTTTTTCTGAGGACCTGGTCAGGCTTTGGTTCCCAGCACCTGTTGGTGGTGCTGCTTGTCCTGCCCCAAATGAACACACAGATGCTATATTAATCATACAATTGTTGACTGATGACTAGGGCTTCTTATTGGCTAGCTCTGTCTTAAATATCAACCTGTAACTTCTTATCTATGGATTTCTACATGGCCTTGGCTTACCAGAGAATGCCTGGTGCATCTTATCTTCCAGTCTCTACATGATGTCTCTTTGCATGCCCTCTCTGCCTGCCTCTCCCAGAATTCTCCTCATCTGGGAGTTCCGCCTAGTTTTCTGCCTTTATTGGCCAAACAGTGTTTTATTCATCAACCAACAAGAGAAACACATATAGAGAAAGACATCCCCCACCAACTACATAGTGCCTCACAACCATCAGTGACTCCAGTTCCAGAGGAGCTGATGTCCTCTTCTAACCCTCTGGAGGAACAGGCATGTACATGCATATGGTGCACATACATACATACATACATACATACATACATACATACAGGCATAATACTTATACATAAAATAAAATAAATATTTTTTTTAAGTTTTGCAAATTAGTACTTTGGGAGGATAGGGTAGATTAAGTGCTACTAAAACAGTAAGTGTAGCCAACAGTTCTATAAGATGAAGTGCTGGGCATTGTTCTAGACTACGGACTCATAAGAATGTACAAATCCCATTCCCCCCGCTCCCCATTTTTCTCTTTCTTTTTGAGACAAGTCTCACATGCAGCCTAAGCTGACTGGGAACTCACTTTGTAGCCCTGACTGGATCTGTTATTTTTATCTTCGAGGATCTTTGTGCTTGGGCTGTGGTTTGGGAATTCTACAAGAAATGCTCCCTAGAAGATCTTAGCAGTTCTTTAAACTCTGAAGCTTAGGGTCAGGGATGAGTTAAGCAATTAAAGCTTAAGCCATTGTCTTCCTAACTCTAACATGAGTACAAGCAACAGGTTTGGAACTATTTCCTTTGTTAAAGAATAATCAAATGCTATTAGATGTATTCAATCGTGTATTCTTACCTTGACCACGAGTCTGTATTTCGGGATGTCAAAGTATGTTGAAAATGAAATGCCCAAAGGCTACACAGGATCTTCACTTAATGGGAAAATACAAAGCGTTTATCTAGTATAGGACTTGCCACATACTGTGAACTTAATAAATACTATTTTAGGGACTGTGTTTATTATTTTATTTAGCAGTAATCCATTAGCCCCCAAATGGCTTTAAGAAGGAAGTATCCCGTGATGTGGACTGATTATGCATTCTTATGTAGGTGCCCTAACTTTAGAAATGTGGTTTCCTTACAATCCCATCTGATCCCATGCTTTTCTTTGCCATCGATCTGGAAGCCCTTGCTCTAGATGGCTGCACCCCACCCCAGTCCCCTGCCCCTGGGTGGAGGCAAGATGTGTATGAAAACTGGTCTCCCCACACCGCCCCAGGCTCTTTGAAAGGTGTCAGCACAAAGCCAGAAAAAACAAGTCAATGAAAACGAGCTAGTCGCCAGGACATGCACCCCCAAAACGTGAAGAATCCCACAACAGCCAAGTGTGCTTCTTATTGCAGCGGTTGAGTCACCAGACAGATTGGCCCGAGGTGAGCCAGGCACATCCGCGTTAGGACTCAGAGACACGCCTTCTTCTCACACAAACCTTCCTGATCCCAGCCGCCTAGGCGGACTCCCGAGTGGTGCTACCAGCCCTGCCACTCGCATTCCGGATAGGCAGAGGTTGGGGACCGCCTAGCGTTGCACAGATCGCGAGCCACAGGTTGCAGACGCAGGGAGCCGTGCCCATGACAGTGGCGCTGTGAGGCTGCTGGTGAGCAGTGGCTGCTGGTGGGTCCCGGAGCTCTGGAAGACAGGAGCGGCCCTGAAATCTGACACCAGCGCCCTCACTGAGGCTGTTTTCCCGGCTGGTGAGTTGGGGAAGGCCGGCTGTCAGCTGGAATTCGGTCCCACCCACTCTGGGTGCCCGTGGGGTTTCAGGGAAGGGGAACCCCAGAGAGCTCAGGCCCCATGCTCGCAGCCTTCCATCTGTTGCCTAGCGAGCCAGACCTGGGGGCTGCTCCTGCTCAGATGGCCCCACTAAACTCGGTCTACCTACCCTCTTTGCTTTGGTGTGTGCTTATATCCTTCAGCCGATTAGAACAGAAACCAAACCCAGACAAGAACACTGGACAGAGACATGACCATCTGTATTTAAAAAATAAATGAAAATAAAAGCGATTCTTATGAGCAAGAAGAGTGGCATGGAGAGAGAAAGGACCGAGGGAGACTGGCCAGGCAAGAGACAGGACTTGTCTTGGCACTTCCTTAAGATGAATCATCCACAGAAAGTGAAGAGTGTTTTCTGTCTCCCATTCCAGCGTTTGCCCTCTTACTTCTGAATTCTGATCAAAGTTTTGCATCTAGGGAGTGAGTGTTACTGCCACTGGCCCCTGTACAACCACATTCAAGATTTTCCCCCACTGCAACATTTTCTTAGCAAGTCTCTGGAAATCATTGACTTGGGTGATGTGTAAGCAGTGGTGGCCCTCCTAGGAAAAAGCTATATTTGGTCAAAGCCTGCACACCTGTAATACGTTGGCCAGCTTTTTGTGACACGATCTAAAACTAAGACTGTGGGGCTCACGTTTAAATGGTTTGCATATAGTTTCAGGGTTATTAGCAAAGACGTAGGTTTTGATTTGAATCTGCTTAAGTGAATACTCACAGTTTTCAATATTTAGTTGTATTCATACTTACATGTGCATACAATGTACTGGTTAATGGTTGTAACTTCCAAAAAGTAGCAAAGACAGACATCGGCATTATCGCAAGCAGATAAGTTTATGGATTTTTTTTAAGTACTGCAAAGTTCAATTTGTAGTTATAAAACAGAGAGAAGTGCTTTTCTGATACTACCCTGCCTGCTCCCATAGCAGGTTTTCAGAGTTTCTAAAGGTAATTCCTTACTCACTGTTCTTACCAGCAGGAACTTCTAGGGATCAACACAAGGTGTAAGGTTGCCAGATACTCTAACATTAAGGAGACCTCTCTGATTAAGGACTAACTATGAACTCCCATGATCTCTTACTATCATTGCTCTTGAATGAAAACAAAACATTTCGGATGAAACTGGATAAGCCTGTTCTCATCTTTGCCAAGTGGCAATAAAAAGAATATGTCAAATGCAAGCAAACCACAGCTCTCCCTACCCATAGGTCATTTCTAGAACAGGCATGTTTGACCTGATAAGGAAGGTAACCCTGGGAAAGCGATCCTCTTAACTCATGGTACACCACATTATACTATTTCTCTCTCCTGGTTTCAGGCTGGGCATTCATTGATATAGAAACATGAATATCAAAGTCCCAGGTGGTTCACAACTGGAATCTGCTGATTTCCCCCATTCTTAGAAAATTGGAGTTTGGCTTTCAACCTAGATCAGTGGTTTTCAACCTTCCTAATGCTGCAACCCTTTAATACAGTTCCTCATATTGTAGTGACCCCAACCATAAAATTATTTTTGTTAATACTTCATATCTGTAATTTTGCTACTGTTGTGAATCATAATATAGATATTTGTGTTTCTCGATGATCTTAGGGGACCCCTGTGAAAGAGCATTTGATCCCCAGAGGGGTTGTGATCCACAGATTGAGAAACACTGACCTAGCGCAGCATGGAAGGCACACAGGCTATTCATCTAAAACTCATCTCAGGATGAGTCCAGTTTCTTGTGTTGATTCATCAAGGCTGGTTAACCAACAGTTCAGCTCTGAAGCAATTACTTGTAATGCTGAGATGCAGAACAGTTCCAATAAAAAGAGACAGGGCAAACCAGATGTTTGCCATGAATTATTTGTAGAGATGCCTAGCAAATGATTGGCTTTCTGCATGGTTAGGTGTATAAGGCATGGAGTGGATGTTCTGTAGATACAGGAAATGACAACATAACTAGATGGACCTGTTCTTAGCACTAAATACTTGGCTGGTTGCAGGCCCATTTCAGTCATTATTGCTGGCTCTCAAGTGTTGACCTTCTTTCCCCAGCCCTCCTTAAATAAGCAAAGGACTAGTGTGTAAGAGATTTCTGGTTAATGCATGATTAAAACAATCATTTCATAAATTCAATATTTTTAAGTTGTGGAGTATCTTGAGAAAAGAAAACAATATATCTAGTTGTTCATGTAGTCAAAAATCTTTCTAAATAGCATCAAGTGCTGTTACAGGATCTGTAGAGAGACATGAACAAAAAAGAAGACATCCCTAACCTTGTGGCTCTTACTATTTATCCCCGGACATCCCTAACCCTGGGGACTAAGAGTTGACAAGATGAACAGGTTACTTCGATGACACATGACTCACAGGTGCTAAGCAGAAATAGATTACAGAAAAAAAGAGAGCTATCCTGTAAGTTTCAGTAGTGTCAGGGTGGGGACAGTCATGCCAGGCTGCAGATTAAGTGCCAGGGCAAGTGGTACTGAGAAGCTATTTCAGTGTCTATCTGGAACAGGTGAGGAAGTGAACCATTGGAGACTATTGCAAACTGAACAACTAGGGAGCTGGGATTTGTTAGGTGATGTTCTCTGGCTCCAAAAGGGCCAGTTCAAAGAGGGCTTTGAAGGTGCTAATAAATAGGAGGTTTTGGGTTTTCACTCTGGGTGGAATGAGACAAAGCTATACCAAATAGCCTATGAAACATTCTCCAACAAATCGTTGTCTAGTACATTATAACCATTAATATTCTTTTAAGCACCAAGGATATAAGATGCTAAAACGGCAGGACACTGCTATGTACACATTACAACCTAGGGTGGAGAGAGAGTCAGGAACAAATTAACAATCCTACAGGTCTTAATATTATTAAAGAAAGCATGGTAATGGGTAAAATAATGACACTGGTAGTTAAGGAGAAGCCTTAGGGAGAGACATTTTGTTGATATACATATGGTATATTTACAGTTGTCTCTCTTTGTGAGTGACTTCTATAGTCATGTGTTCTACTATCTTTGAATAAATAAATATTTGAAGCTAAATTGCATCTGTATGGAGCATGTACATGGCCTTTCTCATCATGATTTCCTGAGCAATCTACTGTAACAACTATTTACATATCCTTCACACTACGTTGATTATGACTATTCCAGAGATAACTTGAGGTATAGCTTTAAAATATGTAGTTCTTGTGCCGGTTGTGTACAAATACTGTGTAACTGTATATAATTGTATATAAAGGTTGATGCTTCTAATCATGCAAGTATCCTTAGGGGCCTTTGAATCAGTCCCTGGTAGAAGCAGCAGAAAACTATGCATCGTGAACTGATAAAGCTGAAATAGTTTTCCATGTTCATCTCTTCAAAAACTTGTGACTTTGTTTTGGAAGAATTGTATATATAATAAGATGATTTTTAAAGTTGTCTCTCAGGTTTCCTTGAAGACAATGATTGAAATTTGAGCACAATAGAAGAAAGGAGATAAGGGTACTCTAATTGACCAGAGATGGCAACAGCTTAGATGAACATTAGAACTGTAGTCTCTGATAAAAGCAGATCATTCAAAAAATATCTAAAAGTGGAGCTGATTGGACTTACTAATAAACCAGGTAAATATGACAGAAAGATTGAAAATAAGCATCAGAATGCATAAAGAACAACTTGAGTAGATGATAACTGTAGAGATGGTTAAGGAAATTTAAGACAGAGATGAAGACCCTGTTATCAACTATCTGAAGCATTTTTCAGGCCTCTGGATGGAAATAGCCAGTTAGGCTTTTCTCTTTGTAGATCTACAACAGCTGGGAGTCATAAGCCAACACCCAGCTAAACACAAAGTCTTCAAGACATCAACCGGAGAGAGCTAGGGAGAGACTGAGATCTAGATCATAGAGCTGATCTATGGTTTGATTTGGCATTGAGGGATCTTGTAACAGGAAGCATCAAGTTATAGGACAGTTATCAGGTGACACTGTCACCATGAACACAAGACAGGAGTTTTTTTCTAGAATGGCCAGTGGTGCTGGATGTTACAAAGATAAAGACACAGATGAGAAATATCTGATCGTGCATGGCAGTGTGGAGACATGGGAAATTTTAACAAGAGATGGACTTCCCCAAACAACATATTCAGAAAATCCTAAGATTTCAGCTAATCCCAAAAGAAATAGAAATTAGAGAGCACCAGAAAAACTTAGGGGATACATTTAGACTCTAATAAAATTAATTTTAAAATGTGTTTGTGGAACAAATAAATACCTTCAAAGCTGTTGTGTGAGTTTTCAATATACTTTGAGGAAGATTGGGCCTGGGGTAAGTGCTAAAGTACCATCAATAGTTTAAACGCTTTTTCAGAACAAAGCAATGAATGAGGAAGTGTCTCATGTCATCGAATCAATGTGAGAGAAAGTGAGAAAGTAGAATTAATCCCTCTGTACTTCCCTGTGCAGCCTGATGCTGGAGACTTAACCTGGGGCCTCCAGCATGCTTGATCTAATACTGAGTTTCATCCCTGGCCTCCTTTCCCATTTCCATTTTGCCCACACTGACCTCCCATTCTATGTACCAAAGTGTCTGGCATAGGGTTTGCATTCTGAATGAAAGACAGTAGTATTAAAAATGGAAAAATTGGACTAAAAAAGAAGAAAAAGCTGCTAACATTCATCATGAGCACAAGGAATTTCTTTAAATGAAAAAAAATAATGGTGGGAGTGAAGGAAATTTCTGTGTTGACACCAAAAGTCAGCTGAAGCCTGAAGGATATCTGGTGCTGGTCAGGGAAAGTACTGAAGAAGAACCAATTAGGCAGAGCAAAACCATCTGGAATGAGCATGATGCATTCAAGAATCTGAGAGAAGAGGGTGGAGAATAGAAAGTGTGAGGAGAAAGGAGCACGGGTGAGCTTTGGCATGGCCCCTGGGAACTCATTACTGGGATGGGT